CTGTCCCCATTCAGGACTCAGCAACCGACAAAGACTGGGAGACTCTGAGAAAGAAAGTTAGTAATAGGCCCAAGAATTAGGTGAAACGATACTTGTCCCCAGAATATACAGAAAACTGTAGCTTGAGAATATGAAGGTGGGAGATGGGATGGGAGTGGCAAGGGGCAACTTGCACAGGAGGGAAAGAAGTAAAAACTTTAGCTGATCAAGAATTTTTCTAAAGAATGGACTTGTCGGCGGCAAGCTGGTCCTCAAATGCTGGCTCCCACCTGAGATTCAGATGGTGATGTTGCTTCCCTGGCCCCCCATTTGAAATGGCCACTAAGCGGCTCTTTTCACTTCTCTACATAGCATTTACTATCATCTGGCATTTTCCTTATTTATTTTTCTCTCTTCGGCCCCTACTTCTAGCCCCTTCCTCACTATAAGGTAAGCTCCCTGAGGGCAATGATCTGTCCTCAGTTACTGTCTCTTATCTCTTAGAATCTAAGCCCCCAGGGTGCAGGCAGTGGCTGGTTTTGTTAACACCCATATCCTTCAAAGTGTCTTGCACATAGCAGAACCATGCAATAGCCCAATGAATCCTTGTTGAATAATTCTAAAAAGATAGCCTTGCCTCTTTACCTCTATTACATTGTGATAGATGAGTTGACTCTCCCTGTGAGCTGGCCAATGGCAGGTGCACTGCTCCCATGGCAGGCATGACCTCAATTTCTGGTCCACTGGGGCCAACGAGGGCTGATAGCAAAGGAGGAAGAACTATTTCCTCTGTGCGGAATGAGAAAGCGGATCCCTTCCTTCTCCAGGGGCATGGAGGGAGAAATTCTAAAGGAGGAACTCACTGCAGGGAAGCATTTGCAGATCGAATATCACTATGATCCGCTAAGCTTCTCTGATGTGTGATAGATCACAATTAAGGTGGATGGAAATATCCTTCCCATGTTACCAGCTGTCTCCATCAGGCTGGCAACAGCAGAGATGAATCTTAGACTTTTGCCTCTTTTCGTTGTTAGGAGTTTGGGAAGAAAAAGCAAATTTATAAGTCAAGAGATTTAAAATTAACACTTCATTAGTGATTTAAAATATATCCCTTTCAGAATACGCAAAGTATCACAAATATATATGTATTTTATGATAAAAAGAATAGGATTTTACAGCCGGGCTAAGTTTTCTCATACTGTGAACAGTACCGAGTAAAAAGGTTTCAGTAAATGATACAAAGTAAAATTCCGTCATCAGAGCAGCCAAGACAAGTGCTGGTGCGCTTATGCTGGACATTAAATAGTCCTCAAGGATAGAGTGACCCTGTGATTTGTCATCCGGGAGCGATGCTTCTGAGAGGGAATGGGGGAGCTCCCCGGCCGTAAGCACGCAGTGACATGGGGACAGTGGACAAAGCCCAGCCTGAGAGGCGCATCACATTTTTAAGATCAACCACTTGCAATCCTGACATATGAGCAGACGGATTTCATCTCCTGTCCCGAGTCCATCAGCAGCGCTGGTTGAGAAGACTCTGAGCCCACCAGAGAGTGAGCAGAAAGGCACGCAGGGCAGCCACTGACACCTGCAGGAGACATGGGCAGTGGTGGGCAGGCAAGTGTTTACCATCCAGCATTTGCAAATACCTGCTCAACAGCTTTCTGATGTGTACCCAACACATACCTGATGAGGACGAAAGCAGTCACCTCTTACCGATC